GCCACGCCCAGCCACCCTGTTGGGCTACTTTTGGGGTTCCCTAAACCCTGAACCCTAAACCCTAAACCCTAAACCCTAAACCCTAAACCCTAAACCCTAAACCCACTTGGGCCCAGGTAGCAGTCATGAGCTGCCAGCCAGCACCATCGCCGTCAAGGCCTTGACGGGCAGCATGCTGGATGCCTCGAGGTGCGCCATCACTTGAGGAACCGAGAACTACCGGTGTAGGGTTTAGGGTTTAGGGTTTAGGGTTTGGGGTTTAGGGTTTAGGGTTTAGGGTTTAGGGTTTAGCGTTTAGGGTTTAGGGTTTAGGGTTTAGGGTTTAGGGTTTAGGGTTTAGGGTTTAGGGTTTAGGGTTTAGGGTTTAGGGTTTAGGGTTTAGTAGGGACCCCACGAACCCTACACAAGATAAGCACTAAACTTAAGCCCTTCGCCCTGCCCATGCAGGGCTTGAGACTGCAACACCCAATACCGCGAAGCCCTGAACCCCAAACCCCTCCACCCCTTGGCCATTCATTCCAAACTCTTCTGAACCCAACTCAAATCCAAGACCTCCTCAAACCCCCCCTGCCGGTAAGCTCCTAGACCCTAAACCCCTAAACCCTAAACCCTAAACCCCTAAACCCTAAACCCTAAAACCCTAAACCCTAAACCCCGAAACCCGAAGGAGTAATCTGGCGTCGAAGCCGCGGAGGCCCAGCGCCAACTTCAGCTCCTCAACATCCACCTGAAGGGGGAGGATGGCTTATGTAGGGTTTAGGGTTTTATGGGGAAGGCGCCCACCAAAGCCCACTCCCTGACAAGCTCCAAGTTGTACCTTTCTTGCCTTATTCCCTTTCAGGTCTGATAGACCTAATTAAGCCAAAATAAAGTTTTACTCCTAGGTTCCTCAATTCTAAACCCTAATCCCTAACCTTGCACAAGCCCTTGCGAAACCCCGTCCCTAAGGAAAGAAAGAGCACTTGGGCCTCCAAGTACTTCCTATTTCGGGACTTTTGGGCCCCAGTATATAATAATGGGGAACATGGACCCTTAGGGTGTTACAGAAGCCCTTCAGAAAAGCCCTCGCCACCTCGCCGGCGAGAAGGCGCCGTAGCCAGGACTCACGTTCGGAGCCCTGGCACAGGTAAAGCAAGGCGGACAGAAGGGGCAAGTATTCCAAGACGGGGCAGGGTTTAGGGTTAAGGGTGTAGGGCTTAGGGCTTGGGGTTTAATTAGGGTTCAGGGTAATTAGTACCTTAAAGTGGGGATATAATATAGCGCATGACCCTTTCGCCCTGGCCTATCTGAGTTCTGGAGCTTCTCTAGGAGCTTAGGGCTCAGGAGTCTACCACCCTAAACTCTATAAACCCCCTATAAACCCGAAACCCTATAAGCCCTAAAACCAATAAGCCCCATAAACCCTAAACCCTATAAATCCTAAACCCTAAAAAACCCTAAACCCTCTAAACCCTATAAACCCTATAAAGCCCAAAAACAATATAAAACCTCTAACCCTAAACCCTAAACCCTAAACCCCATAAAGCCCCCAAAAGCCCCAAAAACCGCACCAGCTTGAGAGCCATGTCGCGGAGGCCAGCCGTGCCCGCAAGGCCATCGCCTCGTTGTGGGCGGTACCTCCCATAATGGTGCACAGGGGTTTAGGGTTTAGGTTTTAGGGTTTAGGGTTTCAAGGGGTGTTCCTGAAAATGAGCTTCTGCGCAAAGCCCAACATCAGAAGGTGTCATCGTTGTTCATGATGTGGGGGGTTTTCTTCGGGGGCTTTTGGGAGTTAGGAGCTTTGGTGCCTCAAGCCCGAAATCCCACCAGCCCCTGAGCCCTGAACCCTGAGACCCTGCTCCCTGAGAGCCCGTCGGGCCTATAGGCGATCCCCAGTTCCAATCGGGATCCGCCCAGCCGCGCCTGGCAAGACACAAGGCAACGGAAGGAGGGATTTGAAGTATGGTGCTCCCAGCATACACCCCAAGCCCTAAACCCTAAATACTTATTATATGAAGTCTGCAGTGTGTACCTACTTTGGGACATTTTTGTTGGAGCACCTGGGTTTCCATGGTGAGCTAGCCAGACATTGTGGCTCCGTGATAGAACACGGACGCTGAAACAACCTAAGGTTCCAGGGTTACGAAGAGACGCTATAACTTAGAGAGTTGGCCTGAGTTGGCCTACCGCAAGGTGTTAATGCTTCCGGTGCGGCTGAGGAGGCACGCGACTGCTATGCTCCGGTCTCAGTTTTTCAACACGTACGCCCTTTTGACGACATCTCGGAGATTTGGTGGCTATGGTCGCGTCTACCTGTTTGCCATTCGCAACCGTTCATCTTCCTGGTCCAGGGTTTAGGGTTCAGGGTTTAGGGTTGCAAGAGGCGCTGAGCCTCTTTAGGGTGCTGAGGCTTCAGGGGCTTTTTGGGTTCAGGGGTTTAGGGTTGATAGGGTTTCAAGGCTATGATCGACAACAGCATGTGCAGCCTTCCATGGCTCGTTGAGAGTCCTACAAATGAAAATGCCATCCCTAGTTAATTGTATAGTTGCTTTCTGGGTGCGATCAACCATGAACTAAAAAAGCAAAAATGGGGGGGGGGGGGGGGGGGCCAAATTAAAGACGGGCCCACTTTAGATGCCAAAACAAGAAGGGAACCTGAACCCTAAACCCTAAACCCTAAAAGCTTTAGTGTCCATGCTGAGGGCTGAGGGTTGACTTGTTTGCCAGCACATTCCCTCAATCAGGCCCCGGCCTCGAAACGGCTTCTCTCGTCCATCGTGGCTTCTGTGGGTTTAGGACGTAGGTGTGGGGGGTGTAGGACTTAAGCTTCAGGGCTTTGGGGGCTGGAGGAGCATGGAACTTGAGGCGGTCTCGGGGCTTAGGGGGTTTTAAGGGGTGAGGGTGTGGCTCGGGAAGTACGTGGGTCTGCGCTGCTTGGGAAAGTCCTTCAGCCGTGCCTCGCCAGAAACATGGCGCCATACACTAGAACCCTCTCAGAACAAGCACCCCTCAACCCTAAACCGATTGCGCAAACCCCAAGCAATTGAACCCTGGTGTCCTCCATCCACGGGCCGGAGACGAAGCAGAAGGGACCCTCATGCTTTGATCTTTGGGATTTTCCAGCTTAGGGTTACGGGCTTTGGGTTTTTGTTGTTTGAGGTTTCCAGTTTAGGGGTTCAGGGCCAAGGGTTTAGGGCTTTAGGGCTTGGGGGGGTTTAGGCCCGAGGGAGCCCCACTGAAATCCTAAACTTCTCAGGGCTCCAAAGGGTTGTAGGGTTGTGTTTCGGTTTTGCTGGGCTTGGGGGTACTGGGCCCCTCTGGAAACCTAGGATTGCAGGTTTTAGGGCTTAGGGTTCAGGGTTTGCGGCCTGTAGCGCCTGGAAGACCTCGGCACCAAGGAGTTTAAAAACGGCCTGGAACCTATCGCATCTCTCTTTACCAGGGTTTTTAGGGGGTTGAGGGCAAGTCGAAAGGATTCTAGATGTGGGACTACTACACAAGAGGGTAGTTACCAAAAGCCTTGCAGAGACCTAAGGTGTCACCTCCTGCAGCCCGAAACCCCAAACCATGAACAGACCGGGGCAGCCAGGGAATTAGCTCCGAAACCCTAAACCTCAGTCATAAGCAACCCTCTTAACCCACAAAGATCCTACACCCTGAACCCTGAGCCCCAAACCCGAATCGTGAACGCCGTAAACCCTTGAGTGAGTGGCTGCGGCAGCGACCAGCGCGGCCAGCAGCCAGCGACGATTCGGAGAGGCCGGCATGTTTCTTCCCCAAGGCTATGTTCACCCTAAGAACGCTGTTTGGGACTAAGGTTAGGGTTTTGGGGTTTTGAGGGGAATAGCGTTCCGTAAGGTTTTGGGTTTCGGGTTGCATTAAGACGGCTTAGCTTGGCTAGGGTCTATACGGATCTGGATAGTGCATTACGAGATGTTGAAGGCGTCGTGTGGATTAAGGTCTGTGGGACTCACAGGGTCCAGGCTTAACTAGGCTCTGAAGCCCCCAAATCCTTGTCTCTAAATCCTCCCGCTCTCTGAAACCCGAACCTATGCACCCTCTGCCCATGGGTTCAGGACTTCCGGGTTTCAGTAGAGTTCCCGATGCACCGCTAAGACGGGAGGAGTGCACTCAGCACTGCGAACCCTAAACTCCTAAACTCATAGCCCGTTGCTCTAATCCAGCGAAGCCCGGTTTGAGGACCTTTGCTGTGCTTCTGGGGCTTCGCGGGGCCAATTTAATGAGGCCTTCAGTGACCGCGCACAAGCTCGACCGACCGAAAGGGAGTACGCGGGGTACGAGTCACAAAGAGGGGGCGTCCAGACGTTGCTATCTTCCGACAGTTGGGGTGCGACGAACTTTCACCCTGCCGCATGATGCCGCATGTAGGGCCTGTATAGGGTTACAGGTTTAAAGAATTTACGGAGTTTACAGGGCCTGCGGGGCATATGCATCTAAGACGGGGTGAATATAGGATTCTTTCAGTTTGCTGGGGCCCTATGTCTGCGAAGAGCCCGAAACCACTGTCAACCCTGACTGAGGGCGTATAGTATAGGGTCTATCTAACATTCTAGTAAGGATTAGAGGGCTTAAGGTGCTTTCGGATGCTCCTTCCGATTTGCTGTGAGCCATGAGGATTCGCCGCATCAGAATCTCACTCTAAAGCCTGAACTCTCTAATGGGAAGCGCAGCTCTCAATCCCAAACCCCAAGTGAGGGCTGCCCGAAATGGGTTCAGGGCTTAGGGTTTAGTAGGGGGCACCTGTTTGGGGTGGGCTTCCTATAATACGAAAAATAGTATTTGCCGGTATATGGAGAGTAGGCCCCTATTCTGGGAAATGCCCAAGTCGAGATTGGCCCATAAGCTTCCCAAAACCCACAATGGCAAGTTGAACTGAGATGAAGGGTGCTTGGGGAGCTCCGCTGGTTACCTCGACCCCAAAACAACATGGGCCCTGCGATTACATCAAATGATTGTGTTGCTGGGTCCATATCTGAATAGCGTACATCTGAGTGTCGCGCTTCTGCTCCACCACCGCGAGCGTGCCACTAACTTCCAGCCTTCAGCTTCGACCGCGGTGTGGCACTCCGGGGGCCCGCAAGACCCCAACACCACTCAATACTGAATTCCCACAATCCTATGAGCCCTGTATACAATATATCAACAAGGCATGCGCCCGACATACCCGAACCCCTTCAAGCCCAAAAGACACTCGGGCAAGGACTCGATCTCTACGGCTTTCTTTGCTGGCCTGGCAACATACGCCACGGTGCAGCGCTTAGGGATTCGAGAATTTGGGGTGTTGGGAGTTTAGGGTTTGGGGCTTGGTACACCCATTTCTTGTGTTCGGGGCTGGGTTTCTCATGGCCGGGACTTGGAGCTTTGCGTGCTTTGAGTCCTTTGCTTCCGAAATTCTGCAGGAGGAGAGTGGCACGTGAGTTTAGGGTGTATACGGTTTAGGGCGACGGCCTGAAATCTACAGGTCCGGTTCGCAATTGGGAACCACTTCCCGGCAAGCGAAAAGGCTGGAAACCCTAATCCCAAAAGCACGAACCCTTGAGCCTCACACAAAGCAACAAAGTAAAGAAGTACCTACTGTAAGAGCCATATACGCCCGATTCATGGTAGTTGGAAGAAGCCCTGGACCCGAACCGTAAAACCTGCAAGCCCCATAACTCGTCACAATAAGCCCCTATCTCCCATAGACACCGAAGCCCAAACCCTAAACCCCACAAACCCCCAAACCGCCCCAAACCCTGTAAACCAAACCACATAGGTCTGAGGATGAATCCTATAAGCGTCCCTTATATCTGCAGCCCTACATCCCAAAACACCGCAAGGGACTAAAGCTGCAAACCCCAATGCCCAAGCATCCCTCCAGCGTCAAAAGCCCGAACAAAACCTTAAAAAAATGAACCCTGTAAACTGTAAACCCCGAACTCCTCAAACAACCTCACACCCTTCTGAAGGCAGAACCGCATGAATCTCCAAGGTTTAGGGTTTAGGGTTATAGGGTTTAAGGGTTTAGGAGCAGACAACAAACCCTCACCCGAAGGGCCTCGGGGCCACGGAGGCCTTAGGCGCTGCCTTTGGCGGCGACACAGTACCGAGACCTTGGGTTGGGTTACAGGAGAGTGACAGGGCTGAGAAAATCGGGGGTTTGGAAAGGGTTCAGAATCAATTGGGGTGACAGAGGCATGGCCCTGCACAAGATGATCAGGACCATCACGCTGGCCCTGGGGGCTACTGCTTTCCCTGGGTTTGGGGATCTGGCCCGTTTCTTTTTCTTTTCTTGGTCCAGACTTCGGTGTTTCCATCTCCGGCGCCATTGAGGCATTGAGGGGGGGTGGTCATGAGCACAAAACAAAATCTGAAAACCTAACCCTGAACATGAATGCCTTGTTAAGCTCTGGCAGTGGCAAGCCTGCCGAACGCCGCCGACAACAATACACACCCCTGATTGCCTCTAAGTTTTAAAGATACCTATTGATCCTAAACTTAAACCCTGAATGTCCACTAATTTAAGGTGCATCCGAAAGCCTCCGTGAGCCGCAGGAAGACCCTAAGCCCCCGCTGACTCAGGCGCGTGCTTTCCAACTTGCGCAGGTCGCGGACCGCCTTCGCATGAGACGGCGGAAACCTCCAACCCGAAGCCATACAGAGTCACAGAGCCCCAGGATAAAATCCTGTACAATATTGCATGAAAGCTCAAGCCTAAACCCCTATGTTACCCTGTACCTATACTGATACTATGAAGTCATAACCAAGCCCTAAATCCACACGCTCTGTACCCTTCTTTTTTACCGAAGCCTTGCATTTTGGGGCAACGGAGCAACCTCCCCCTGCGGAGGTTGGAGCTCCCGGGTAAGTCAAGGCGATAACATCCCTAAATATACGGTCACAGGTGCCGGGGTTGAGGCGGTTTAGGGTTTCGGGGACCACGTAGTACAGCCCCTAGCGAAAACCCAAAAACATCCCCGGAAACTGTGGCGGTGGGGGAATATGGCAATTTCGGCTTAGGGTTGTCAACTCGCCGACCCGCCGACCACCCTCCAGCCTTCTCTGCCGTCGCCTTCTCCGCCATCAGGGTCGCCAGCGCTGCTTCCTCTTTGTTAGGTCAGGTGCGTGCACAATGGATCTGTCAATCTTTTTGCCGGAAATTCTGAAGGATGAGGCTTTTGAGTTAATCGCCTGGAGAGCCACAATGAAGGAGCGTGAGGCCTTGCGCATCATGGGGCCTAACGTTAATGTAAAGAGGAGGAGCAAGGGACACCAAAGAGCCGGGCAAGAAAGGCTTAAGAACAAGAAGAGTTCTGACATGTTCTGACCACAACCCCAGGTCAAAACGCTGGTCTTCGGGTTCGCACTGCATGGGTTAGGGTGCAGGGTCGAGTGCAACCACTCTCCGAAGAAAAGCTTCGATAGGTACGGGCTTTTGGGAGCCCTAAACCCCAAACCCTAAACCCGAAACGCTAATTTTTGAACAGTAAACCAAATCCTATTTTGTTGGAACCCTGAACAGGAATAATGAATATCAGGGGGAGAGAGCTACGATCCGAGGGGCCTCGGCGGCGAGGGCATCTCGAAGCCGGGTCAGGTTGGCCTTTTCGGGTTTAGGGATTGGGGGGTTTCAGGGTTTACAGGGTTTAGGATTCAGGGCTTAGGTTTTATGTTCCGGGTTTGGGGGGAGGTGGTGCAGAACTGGGTCTGAGAAGGCAGTTGTCTTCAACAAGCACAGGGATTGGGAGAAACCCCCGCGCCAGACCCCCACCTGTAACCCCAAACCCTAATTCCCTATTCTTGGCTTCCGGGCCCTTCTTCACACTTTAGAGAGTGTCACGTCAACTCGCGGATACGGACATATACGTGACTGATGGCTTGCAACATGCGATTACCACGAAACGAGCGTGCATCATGCCACAAATCAGTTCTTGCATCTGTTCGAAATATATTTTCGTGATCAAAGCCGCAATCAGCAGCATCATCAGCGCCCCTCTGTGCCCTATGTGCAGCCTCCTCAGCCTGTACTGCACATGTGAACCTGGACACGGACGTCATCGGAGAGTCAAGGCACACGGCGTGAAAAAAAGACACGGAAATAAGAACGACGCCGAGAGCGTACTCAACATTATGCGAATTGGATCTTGGCGGGTGAGGCGCATCCCTTGGAGTCCAACGGCAGGTTGTTTTGTGGGGTTGGCCTTGGTGCGGCAAGTGTTGCTTCCTCCACCCTCAGCCCTTCGGAGTTAGGGTGTTTCAGTTGGGGTGTGTACAGCAGTAGCTGGCAGCAAGCACAACCACAGGTGCACCTGCTGGCATCCCCGGTCGTGATCTCTGCCCAGCTTCTGTTGTCTCCACGGTAGTTCTCGCATGAAACCTGAAATCCTACACCTAAAACCATGAACCGAAAATTCAAAGGAGGGTGAGCATCCTGCAGAGTGCTTCAACATGCCCATTTCTTCCCATCCCTAAATTTCTCCCAAGGTCGGGTTTACAGGGTAAGTTTAGGGAGTTTAGGCCCCAAAAACCCTAAACCCCGGAACGGGCGAGCGCCTCGGCTTCGGCCACATCTGCCTCCGCCGCGGCCTCCGCTGCCTCGGCGGCCGCGGCCGCGGCCTCCGCCACGCGGAGGGCCTGGCATGCTCCAGGGGGTAGGGTTAGGGGCTTGTAACCCCTTGCCTGGTAGTGGTCGTGGTAGTGATCGTGGCAGCAGTAGCAGCAATAGCAGCAGCATCATCATCATCATCATCATCATCATCATCATCATCATTCAGGGCTTATGAGGATGTGTGGTTTGCATTAGGGTGTTTGGGCTCCTCCGCAAAAACATGCCCGAAGCGCTTCTTGTAGCTTGACGCGCGCCACGTGCTCTGAGACAAGCTCCTGGCAAAGCAAACATGCTGGACCGCGTAAAGGTCAAAGGGATACTCTCTGATGCTAGGATGTGCAGCTTTTGGCCTGTTCTCCACAAGTACGTTGCAAAGAGCAATATGGCGGCAGTAAGGGTTCTGGGTTGAGAGTCCAGATACCTTGTAATACCCTCATGGTTGCGGTTATGTGGGCGGCACGACTTGGCTTAACATCCGTGCCAAGTCGTTGGGTCTGGTAAATGCTGCGGACTTGGCCCGGTTTGGGGGGCAGAAGGCCTGAACCTTGCCAGCCCTCACATTCTGCATTCACTTACCGGTTCTTAATCGGAAGCAGGGACTTAGGTTCTGTATGTATACGCACCTTTATTCAATGAGTACGAAGCGAAATGCTAGTGTATTCTCTCTCAGCACCTGATCCATGCTGTCTATAAGTCCAAGCCTGATAACCCCAAACCCTGAACCTCAACGGAACGGGACCCTGCGTGAAGTTCAAGGCCTAGCGCCACACCCAGATGGAGATACATCTCACAGGGCCACATGCCGAGGCCCTGAAAACACTCAACCCCAGACCATCAACCCCAATCACTATAAACCCTATAGACTCATTAACCGTTAAACTCCTAACAAACTCCGAAACGCCCTAAAAACCACTGTCTCTATGAAGCCCTTTTAAAGCTCTGGCCAGATCCTGTACCCAGCGCAGCAGCGTCTCGCAGGGCGCGGAGGCCCGCGCCACTGCTGCCAACTCCAAGGGCGCCTTCACGGGTACCTGCGAGCAGTAGGAGGTTGGCTTCAGGGCTTTAGGGCTTAGGGTTTAGGGTTTAGGGTTTGGGCTTTAGGCTTTAGGCTTTAGGGTTTAGGGTTTAGGGTTTAGGGTTTAGGGTTTAGGGTTTAGGGCTTAGGGTTTAGGGTTTAGGGTTGATAGGGACTTAGGGTTTAGAGGTTTGCGCGGAGATGGGTTGAAGGAGGTTCGGGTTTCAGGAGGGAGGAGGGGTGTCTGATGTTCTTTGGGGGTCCTTGAAATGATCCGAGGTCCCCCCCCCCCAATACCCGTAAAGGCTAAAGACCATGACCAAAAAGACCTATAAGTAGTACAACGATCTCATTATCGCTGCTCAGTCCCAGCAAGCAGCCAAAATGGCAGCTGCCACTTGGGTTTTGAACATTAATTACAGGAAGTAAGGCCTGCTTGGCGCCAGCTTTGTCAGCATGTTTAAACCCACATAAGAGCCTTTAAGCCTTGACCCAGCTTATAGAGTGTGGCTTCAGAAAGTTTAGTCCTGTCCTGCTCCCAAAGCCAGCCCTTCGCCCTCCCAGCTCTCCCCACCCACGAGCACCGTGGCACTGCGGCGCAGGGTGGGCTTCGTGGGCACGCCTGCATCACTCAGTATAGTTTATGCCTGACACTCTGTCGGTCTATGCGAGTTCTAAGAGGTATTGGCTCCCGAACCGCAGGTCAAAAAGAGCTACGGGGCGCTGGATAGTCTTAAGGCTCAAGGGGTTCTTGGCTAAGCTCATCATATCGGCTCCAACTCCATCGCGAGGATGAGGTTGCAGGTCAAGGGAAGTCTCTGGATCCCAAGCTGCAGCTCCCAAAACCTATGATAAGCCCCCCCCACCCCCTCCAGCACTAGCCACTTTGAGCCCTTGGAGCCTCCCCAAACCCCCCGGACTCATTGGGGGCCATCAAGGCTCTATGATGCGGCTATGGAGCGAGCCAAGCTCCAAAGGGAAAGCAGGCCTGAGATAGACCTTTACCCACAACAGCATTCTTGCAAGAAAAGAAGCCCAAGCCGAAACTGCCCAAAAGTATCTGACCTAAAGACCGCAAACTTGCTGTCTTTCTGCTCTCGAACAACGGTGCCCCAGACGCCTTGGGCGAGTGCCGTGGCCCCCGTGGGGAGGCCGAGGTAGGCCGCGGCCACGTGGGCGGCCACAGAAGGAGCCTGTGGCAGCTGCAAGGTTTTAGGGTTTAGGGTTTAGGGTTTAGGGTTCAGGGTTTAGGGTTTAGGGTTTAGGGTTCCGAACTGTCTGGGGACCTGCCCCTTTTCAGGGAACTAGGTGCCATGTAGAGTCAAACTTGCACCTCCAGGGTCGAGTATGAGCTACAAAAGGCTTGAATGAAATGAGGGCTCGAACCCACGAATCAAAGGCAAGATTGCAATTACTGGGAATGCAGTGGGGTATCTGTCAAGCGAAGTTTGTGCAAAGATAACGAGCAAGGCAGGTGCAGCCAAGCTGTTGTCGGCCTCATGAAGGGTGCGCAAGATGGAACAGGAGCAAATGCAATGGGGTCACAGGGCAAATGTGAAACAAACAAACAACACATCACAAGCCAATTTGACGCAAAGCCAGTCGTCAGTGAGATGCCAGTGCAATAGTCGAGCACACACCTAGGCCTAATCCCAAACACTTGCCTAGGCTATCCCTTAAGCTATCCCGGAACATGTATCACCAGGGCTATGCTTTAGAAGCTGTAGGGAAGTCAAACATGCAAAAGCAGCCCTGAAGCCTAAAACCCTAAAACCGATCCCCTGAAGCACCTCATCCAGTTGCTTGGTGTCGTAGTTCAAGACCGAGGCGATGAACCCCTTCAGGGTTCAGGATTGGGGTTTTCAGGGTTTTAAGGGTTTAGGGTTTAGGGAGGGAATTTTGGGGGCATTGCGAGCCCGAAGCCTGAAACCAGTGGGAGATGTCAGGCGCCGCGCAGGGCTGGGGAAGAAAAGCGGGGGCTTCAATATGGACTTCGACGAACACCTCTCCCACAAAATGCAGGCCAAGCCCGGATGGACCCCAAAGCCCCTTAAAACCTGGCCGGTAAAAAAGAAAAAACTGAGCCCCAACACACCTAAGCCTGTAGGGACTTGGGATTTAGGCTGCTGACGTTTGAGGTTTATTCAGGGCTTTAGACCCCTGCCTCGTCCACCAGCATCCTCTGGCAGCGCGGCCAGTCTGCCGTCTGCCGGGGCACGGGGGTTTAGGGTTTAGGGTTTAGGGTTTAGGGTTTAGGGTTTAGGGTTTAGGGTTTAGGGTTTAGGATTTAGGGTTTAGGGTTTAGGGTTTAGGGTTTAGGGTTTAGGGGATCCTATACGCCCAGCCCCGACCCTTAACAGCTAAAGTAAAGAATAGCAGGGCCTTCTCTGGGGTCATGTTGTGCTCCGGTTTTTTGTTCAAACCAACCGCTGAATCATCTGATTTGGGATGCTCATACAGGCTTTGGGCAAATTACCAGGAACTAATGGGACAACCTCTTGCTTAAACAACGCAAAAAGCAAAACAAAAAACGGTAACGACGAGACTGACGACAATTTTGAGTGCTACTCGCAACAATAGGCATGAAGCAAGTCCTCGGATTAAATGGAGTCCAGAGGTTTCGAAACCCCAACCCCAAATCCCAAACGCAAAGGTACGAGTTTGCAGCCAAAAGGCCTCATAAAGCCCATAGTTTTCTTATACTTTACTAACCATGGAATAACTGCCCCCTTGCGTACCATTTGGTTTTAGGGTTTCGAATAATTGAGGTTCAGGGGATCCAGAACTGCAAGGAATATAGGATGATAGAGAATGATCGTGCGCTTACCTCCCCCGGTCAGTAGCTGGACCCTTACTCTGTAGTTCCTTCCTTGAAGCACCTATAGCCATGCAATTTTCATGTTATTCAACCGGAACCCCTATAAGCCCTGAACCGTAACGTGGTATTGACCCGGAACCCCCTAACTAAGCCCTGAATCGTAAACCCTGAACCCTGTAACCCCTAACAACTGCAAAAGAAGGATACCCTAAACCCTAAACCCTAAACCCTAAACCCTAAACCCTAAACCCTAAACCCTACTGAAATAGAAACCACAAGTCCGGCACCGGCCCACAAGCGCTTCTGCGCACCTCATCGAAGTGAACTGCACTGGCAGGCTTTCCTTTGAAGCGGTGACCTGGCAGCGTTTGGGGCTTTGGGGTTTATAGGGGCCGAAACCCACGCCTAAACAGTCATCGGGTTACATTCACACTCCACCATGATCATCCAGACCGAGATGCACCGAATCCGGATCCTGGAAGCCCACGCCAAACCCATGCGGAGAGGTAAAAGGACGTTCACAACCATAGGAATAGGGGGAAAAAAACCCTTTTAACTTGACCCTAAACCCTAAAGCACCCTATAAGCCCCACTTCTATCTGAAAGCTTGCTTGGGGCAAGCCGGTAAAAGCGCGCATGGAGAGGGGCAGTGCAGCAGAAGCCAGGCAGCGGCAAGAGTCCGCTTGACAGGGTCGGGCGGGCTCCTGGCAACGACTTTTGCCTAGGACCTGGGGTTTGGGGTCTTATGGTTTGGCTGTAGGGTTAAAAGTCAGAGAGTTTAGGATTTTAGGTTTGGAGTTCGAGGGTTTAGGGCTTTGGTGAATTGTTTTGGGGGCTTGTTTTCAGGACTCGGGGCTTCAGGCCCCAAGGGCGCATCCATCTAACTTAAATAGCAGCGATTTTTTGCTTCTAGGGTTTAGGGTTTAGTGTTTAGGGTTGAGGGTTGAGGGTTGAGGGTTTAGGGTTTAGGGCTAGGAACCCTTTTCAAGGCCCAAGTACGCACCAGAGAGGTATTCATGGACCCTGCGTTCAGAATGGTACTTGAGCAGCGTGAGGAAGAGCGCTAGAAGCTGCGGAACGGGGGATTCCCAGTATTTCGAGGCTCGTCACCCGAGAGCCATGCCTCCCTCATGGGCTTTGAGGCTTGCGGTTTTAAGGTGCTAGGGTCTTAGAGTGTTAGGATGCAGGGTGCTGCTGTGAGTTTGCTGCAAGCGTCTTGGCCGACCTGTTGGCAAGCTGGGTTAGGGCAAACTGGTCCCTCATGAATGTATTGGTGTAGTACGCAGCGCCTGTTTTTGCAGCGCCTTGAGCCCGGAGCTCGACAACCCAAAGCCCCCAAACCCAAACGAAACGATGAAGAACATTTGTCAGTCTTCAACCCATCTAAGCCCTATGCAGACTAGAACCCTAAAGAACCTCGAAAAACCTTAAAGAAGCCTGAAGAACCCCAAAGGTTTACAAGTAGAAGCCTCAACCCTAAACCCTAAACTCTACACCCTGTAAGAAATTATTTACCCTGAGGGTCCATGTAGGGAGTACTTGGGTCCTAAAGTACCTCCTATTTATTATTTAGGGACTCTAGGCCCAAGTACATAATAATGAGGTACATGGACCCTTAAACTAAAAACCCTAAACCCTAAACCCTAAACCCTAAACCCTAAACCCTAAACCCTAAACCCTAAACCCTAACCCCGGTACATGGACCCTTAGGGAAACACATTTGACAGCACCTCTAAACGAGCGCCTTAGGAGCTGCCGGATCTCTGCCAGCTGCTTCTTGCTAAGGCCGCCGACCTCTCCAGCTCCGGTTATGTAAGACCTTGCCTTAAGAACCCCAAAACCTACTCTCTGTTTGTTGTTACCGATTGGGTTTTAGGCGTTCCTTTACAGGGTTTAGGGTCAAAGACTTCATCTAGGTGTACGGGGTTTAGCAAGGGCTTCCAGGAGCTTGGAGAGGGGACCAAGTGCCTATTGTCAAACAAAGGTGCAGTGGCTTGGCTTTCGGCATACCTTGCTCGGAAGAGACCATCCCTCGGCCCTAAACTCTTAGAAGAAAAAGAACCTTCCACAGCCAAGGGCATCTGTTGCTGAAGCCAGGAGACCAGATATTTCGAAAGCGGGATGGCGTCAAGTTTAGGGCTTAGGGATATGAAATTAAGGTGCTTCTTAAGGAAACGGGGTTATACCCTACACCTACACAATTAAAGGCAATTGTGGCAGTGCTCGGGCCTCCTCTGCTGCGCGCAGGCGGGCTTCGGCCAATGACGCGAGAGCCTGCAGCAGAATGCGGCAAAGTCCCTTGGAGCCCTGCAGGTCCAGCCCCATAGGCCAATAAAGCCCCATAAGCCCTAAGAATCCTAGAGGAAAATGACAGTAAAAGCCCAAAAACAACCGAACCCTGCAAACCCTACAACCCCTATACACCCTATATACATACACCCTAAACAACCTATGGACCCTATTAACCCTACAAACCCTGTAGACCCAGGGTTCCTTTGACCCTATGAACCCTTATAACCCTGTGGGTCCCTCGAAACCCTCTACGCCCCAAACCCTAAACCCTAAAGCCCCTTAAACCCCATAACCCTAAACCCCTTTTCAACCCTATAAACCCCAAGTGGCCTGCTGCAGCTCCGTGCGCTCGGCACGCGGCGGCCCGGCGGCCGCCGCGGCCTCGGTCAGGCGCGGCCGCAGCCGATGGCGGAGCCTCGGCTCTTTGCTGTAGATGCTGGGTTTAAGGTGTATAGGGTTTAGGGTTTAGGGTTTAGGGTTTAGGGTTTAGGGTCTAGGGTTTGGGGTTTGGGGTTTGGGGTTTAGGGTTGGTTTAAGGCACTGGAAACCAGGGTTGTTCAATTGCCACGAACCATAGAGGCAATCGGGTTTGGGGATTAGGGTTTACAGGGTTTATAGGGTTTGTAGGGTTTGTAGGGTTTATACGGCTTTATACGGCTTTATACGGTTTTATACGGCTTTATAGAGTTTATATTGCTTATAGGGTTGTGTGTGGCAGGTGCAACAGACGCCTTCGAAGGTAACGGGATCTTTCACCGATACACCCTGTATAAACCATATATAAACCCTGTATACATCCTTTATAAACCCAAAAACCCTTCCATCGCGGCCCCAGTGGCCCATCTTCGGCCTCTACCAGTCTCCCTCGCAATCCTGGGTTCTTCGGGGTACTTGGAGCTTGGCTTGTGGGTTTATTTGGGTCTTTTTTCTAGGGTTTATACGGTTTCTGGATTGGGTTTATAGGGTCCATCAGATTTAGAGGGCTTGTAGGGTTGCAGAGTTTAGGGCGAAGGGCTTGTAGGGTCTAAGGCTTATACGTATAAGGGATATGTTCAGTTCAGGATTTCCTGGAGGCTTTGGGGGTTGAGTTCAGCTGCAGGGTTTCATGGCATGGGGGCTTCAGAGGTGGCCGAGGAGTTTCGGGGGATGAGAGTTAAACTTTCACGCGGATGATAAACACCTGCCAGCTACTCTTCAGTACGAACAAAACCCCACTCCGCTGAACCATGCCTAAACCCGACATGCCCTAATCCTGCATAGCTTCCTGTCAAGCTGGCTTGAGTCAGGTCGGGGCAGGTTTCCCAGGTTCAACTGCAGTCAGACTGTCCATGAACCCAAAAAATCGAGCGCTGAGCCCTGGTAACCCTACACGCCCAAACCCTCAACCTTAAACCAAGCAATCCTGACCTCACAACACTGAAAAAGCACAGCGCTAGGCGAAGTCGTTCGCTTGAACCTCCACACAACCCAAAAGCCCTAAAGCACCAAATCCCAATATCCCCAAGCCCAAAAGCCCCTAAGACCCCCAAAACCAAGCCCAAAAGCCCAAAACTCCACAAACAAGCCATGAGCCAGTAAAGCATGTCCAAGGAGCAAGAAAACCATTTCAAAAGCCCCAAAAACCCTTTAAAGCAAAACCCTAAAGCAAGTAAAAAGCCCCTTCCGAGTGGCCCTCGCAGCGGGTCCTCGCCTGCGCCCCAGGAGCTTCGGAAGCGTCTAAGGGCGCTCTATACTCAGAGGCTGAAGTGCGGTTCCTTTTGTTGGGTAGTTGTAAGCCCGGAACTACCAGGAGAACCATCATATATCAATGAGTTATAACAACCTACAACATAGCAGAAATTCGGGATTGAGTTAGACTTCGAAGGTACTGGGCCTTAGTGGTGGGTTTAGCGGCTCGCATTGCCCAAGTGCCGGGCCGCATGAGCACTCAGTCCAGTCCTGAGGCAGCTCTTGAATCCAAGCCCACTGGCAGAGCAAGTGGCTGACGAATGCTCAGGTGCAATGAAGCATGCCCTTGCAGAACACCTTGTGCAAACTCCACGCGGCCTTCTGGCACGCAGGGCTGCAGCACCGCGCCTTCTTGCATGCGCCGCAGCGCTGCCCAAGGGACAGCTGGAGTTCCAGCACCCGGCCACTGCCCACTCCCAGCACCGCTCCGCCGCTCTCGAGAACACGGACTCCTGGAGATCTTTGGAGGCTTGGAGGGATGCACACATTGCGCTTTCGGCGGCACAAACCCCATCGGAAGCGTGTGGCCTCTTCGAGCAAAGGACCGAGCTGGGCCTTCATTTCCCGACATGTCTCTGGTGTCCACATGGCCGCCTGCTGTGTCATTGCAGGCAAAGCCTGCTGGAGGTCTGCCTTAACTGTCATGGCAGCAGCTACAGCCGGAGCGCCCTTGCTGGACTCACCCTGTGATAACATCCACAAGCGCTCCCGCAAGAGGAACGCCTCCAACATGTCATCTATGCTCCACTGAGAGCTGGGAAACGATGGGCAAAATGCTAGGGCTCGGCCACAGATCATCAAGTCGGCTGTCGTGTCAGTGACGTTCTTTGGTAGGACTGTTCGGAAGGTGGTGTTCTCAATTCTGGGCTGGAAGTTTTTGCTGAAGTTCATGAACTCCGTCGCCAGGCTGCTCCATGGCTTCACATCCAACAATGGATTGAAGGCGTCTAGCAAAGCCGACAAACCGACATAGTCTGCCAAGTTGGACGTCAAGATGTAGTTAAAGCATTCTTTTCGCAGATGCAGCTCCTTGGCGAAAGACAGTGCCTCACCCACCTTCAAGCGAAAGGATACGCGCAGCGGAGACACGCTCGACATCGCGTCCCGAACGAGCAAAAGCATACGGCGCAGCTCGTGAAGCAGCAGGTCCCCGAGGCACACTTTGTGTTTCTTGTCGGCGACATCGGCCTCGTGCGACGCCGCGATGTGCCGCAAGTTCCAACCTCGGAGCGGGATGCAGCCGCTGCTGCCCGGCCCGGCAGCGCCCCTTTGTGTACAAGCGTCGGGTTTACGCATGTCAGCCCTTTCGAACTCGCCCCACAGCAAGCGAGCCTGCGTGTGGACATACTCTCTGTGAAGCACTTGTGCCATCGCCCCTGCTGCCCGCAATAGTCATGATGGAAGCAGGATGTGCCTGGTTTCTCGTTCCATGGTACCTCAGAAGCGGCAGGCGTTGCGACCCAGCGCTTCCATGTGTCCACCACACAGCCGAACGACTGGTTGTCGAACCACGACATCGGGCCCCAGTCGCCCTTGCAGCCACGTTGGGCAGCCTGTTCAAGCAGGGCAGTGAGCATTGCACGCAAAGCTGCATCCTGCTCGTCTGAAATGTGCTTGGAGTACCACAGCTGGATGATCAGCTCGATCACATCCACCCTTGCGTCCAGCTTCAGGATGGGCTTCTTAAGCTGTGACTCACCTCCAGAAGGCAAAAGGCCATCGAGCAGCATCAGGAACAACGCGTTCCGAGCCATTACGTGCTCATCCATATCATTCAAGGTGAAAGTGAGATGCGACAACTCCCTCTCTCGCTGACGATCATACGCAGCGCTCACAGACCGCACAACATGACGCAGATCCCCACATGCGGCCGAGAGAATGCACCCGTTGGTTCCTGTGTGATTCTCGAGAAGGTCTACGGCTGGTGTGTTCCCGAAGGGATACCACTGCTCGTCCATTGCATCCGGCAGCCCGATGGCATGCCTCTCGTGTACGCTGACGGCAAGATCTGGCTCCAGCTTACTGACGGAATCCTTCCCAACTCCCTCAGGGCCCAGCTGCAGGCGTATACGGTTCAACTCTGCGTGGTGCCCACACTTGTCGTACGGGTCCTTGCTGGCAGCCAGAGAGACGGCCAGGGCACGCAGCTGCATAGGTTGGCCTGCGTCGCAGGCCATCGCGTGCAACTGTGCAACAGAAAGGTTCAACATCGAGGCAGGTGGGACCCATGCAGGCGGGCCGTGAGTAGCGGCTGAGTAGCGGTGACACGTTCCAGCCCGATATACGCAAAGCCAGCAGATGCTCTAAGCCAAACACAAACAAGATCCCTAATGCCCTACACCCTTGCCACGCCTCAATCTCTTGGCTAGAGTGGCCCGATTAAATCAGCCTCTAATTCATGCGCAGAGCGGGGACCAGCAGTTGTGCGGTGTCCCTTGGACCTCTCCTCTGCTTCTGGATCGAATCCGAGGAAACCAGGAGCAGTTTGGGCACTGTAGGGGAAATGTCTTTGCTGTTGCATCCAACTGCAAGGGTTTCTGAAGGGCCTCTTCGAGGGCATTGCTCTCGCTCTGCAGAGATGGGGTACCTGGAAGGTGTGGCACTTGTACTTGAGGGATTTGAGTAAAGGGTTTGTTCAAATCCCGGAAGCGCCGGGCGCTTGACTTGTTGGCAAGAAGAGCCTCTCAGATGAGTTGCAAAGCCTGACTTCCGGCCCTTCAGTCTCCCCAACTCCTATTCGCCTAAACGACCCCACAGGACCTAGACAACAACAGGCTGCTACGGTTTTGCTCGTCGTCTGTGCGGGTTTACATATCCCAAGGGCATGCCTTACCACACACCCCTCGCAGCCGTAGCTGGGCCCACCTCCAGCCACCGCACGCCCAGCAGCGCTCAAGGCGCCGCCTTCCCGGCATCTCAAGGTCTCCCACAGTAGTCATGCCAATGATCCTAAGCCCCTGACCCCTAAACCCGATAAGCTTCGTTTGTAGCAGAAGCCCAGGCTTCAACAAAGAAAGCCTGGGGGGACCACCGAGACCCAGAGTCTGAGGTCAGATCAGACAGATTGTTTTGGAGGTTAAGGGTTTAGGGTTTAGAAGGTAGTTCCATGGAGGTGTTGGTCCCGTCCTGGCGTAGCCTTCTGCCGAGCACTCATGGGCCATCCGCGGCGGGGTGCTTTTGAGGGCGGGCTCGGGACTAACGAAGAGCGGGAGCAAGGCTTCACGGGGCTAAGAAGCCATGAGGGATGTAGGCGTTTCGGGTCCGGCTGAAGTAGTTGGGAGTACCAGTGTCCCACCGCTCAGTAGCCCTGAGAGCCTAAAATTAGGGCTGCGTGGGTTGGGGTCATTTAAAAGAGCAATTCTACTGGGAAAGGGGGGAGAGGGGGATAATCGGGGACGTTAAAAGAAGACAAGGATTTTGGAAATCCACACATGGAAATCGTCGTGCGTCGAGCTTCAGCGGCTTGCCAGTAGAGTGTGCACAATCTAGTCAAGTAACAACGTGGTGTGACCGTGGCTGGCAACGCCTAATGGCCTAATACATCTAGTTAGAGACGAATTGCCGGTGAAATCCTAGAAAAGGAAGGGCTCTTCCAGAGGTTAGAAGTGTTGAATGAGGATGGTCACCCTTTTTTATGTAGGACAAACTAACAAGGTCGGAGGACATAACAGCTTGCCGCATGCCCTTCTCAAGTTTGTCTTGCCTTCCGGGCCGAGGGCACCCGCTTCGGGTTGGGGGTCGAATGAGCTGAGGGCTTCAGGGATATAACTGCAAGGTCGTAGGGAATAGGGCTATGGGGCATGGCGTCATGTGCAGAGTCGATGGACTGAGAGCTTTGGGGTTTGCAGGATGCAAGGTCTCGTAGCCAAGTAGGAATGCCGGGGATGGAGAGTCTCCTGGAGACCTCTTTGCCAGTGAGCACTGAAGCCCTTATACCGAACCCCAACACCGAGCCGCCCGCGACAACAATCGGTTTAGGGTTTAGGGTTTAGGGTTTAGGGTTTAGGGTTTAGGGTTTAGGGTTTAGGGTTTAGGGTTTAGGGTTTAGGGTCTTATAGAGTTTACTGTATAGTGTTGAAAGCCTCCCACAGCAAGCCACGCTCCCAAACCGACGCGGCACTCAGGCTTGTTGAGGCTTAGAGTTCAGGATTTCTGGCGGTAGGGCTTTCGGGGTTTGCCCTGTAGACTGTTTCAGGCTAAAGAAGCTCATAGTGCCGAACATACGGTGAGGGACTGGAAGCGCACTAGACTTAACTTGGGCCATACATATCGCAACTTAGGTTTATACATCCCTCTGAATGCACTTAGTATAGCCTACCCTAGGTTGCAGGGACCTGTAAATGCACCTAGTATAGTCTACCAGAAGGGGGGTCATCAGTGCAGAAGCATGGCGAGCCCAGCACCGTGGTAGTTGCTGCTGATGATGTCCGCCGGGCAGAGGACCGGATTCCTGCCGGGCACTGGTTAGGGCTTCTAGGGTTAGGAGGGTCAGGGATGTTTAGGGTTTAGTTTAGGGTTTAGGGTCTAGAGGTTCAGATTTAGATTCGGCAATCCTTGAGCATGGGTATCCAAAGAACACAGAGTGCCCACATGAAACACTACGTCTACCCAGGAGAAACGTATGGGTTTCCGAAAATATGGGGGAAGAGATCGGCGGCAGGGACACAGCACCTTGCAAGATATCAGCACATCTTACCATGACTAGTAAGGAAGGCAGCTCATGGTACCCCATAGAGGAGCGGAACTTCATCTGAGTCTCTTGACCACAACCCAGATGCCGCTGACCTGCATTGGCTGCACTGGTAGATCAGGCCGTCTGACGCCGAGTGCCAATCTGAGGAGCTAGGGTTTAGGGTTTCGGGTTTAGGGCTTAGGGGTTGCATGGAATGCTCCGGTTGCCAGGTGGGCAGACCTGTGTTTCTTGGGACTCAGACAACGGGGAAAGCTGAGAAGCTGTGATTGAGTGATTGAGTTCAGTTTGCGCTTCTCTGCACACCTAAACCAACATCTCAGCAGGTAGACTCTTTGTCCGCTTAGTCCGCAATTCAAGGCCCAAGCTGCCCAGCAAACTGCGTGCAGAGTTTAGAGACTTAAGGATGGGGATGGCCTTTGCATCTTGAAGCGTCATTACACGCCTGGACGTGAAAGCCACACCACAGTCTGACGACTGGACGCGACTTCAGGAACTGCGCCACTAAAGCTACGAAAAAGGTGATCAGCCTGCACCCGTCAAAGAGGCATTTAGGGTGCCACGAGCAGCCAACCTTTGCTTACACTGACCGATAGGCAAAGACTTGCAGTGGGACAAAGTCATCCATCCAACATTGAAGCAAAAATACGTATGGCGCAGGAATACGGGTATTCGGTCGTCAGGTTGATTTGAAGATGTAAGCATCCGAAACCTGTTCACAGTATGCTACAGCCATCACAGGTTTCATTTCGGCTTTCTTCCTCAATTCGTGGTCCGGACGGCGAACTCATCTCAGGTGAAGGATCCCCTTCAGGGGCCGCCTGAGGCGCGGGTGGCGCAGCACGAGCCAGGTCCACTTCCACTGCGACAACGTCATCCGGCTGGCCCAGATCGAAGGCCATGAACTGTTTCCTGGCTGATGGCTTCAACCGGCGTTTAGTAGTGTTGCTATCGTAGTTAGGGTTTCCATTGCTTATTGCTTCTGGCTCTGAAGAACCTAGATTGCTGTTCTTCTTGAGCTGTTATTTCTGTTGAAGGAGCGGCGCTTGTTTTCACACTCCGGTCTACAAAGCGTGACAACAACAAACGAGTGGCGGAAACAGCTCATGGCAACAACGACAGCCATGAGTAATCCAGACTCAGGAACAACACTACACACCATCACCCTTAGACTATAAGATCGTCAATCGGATTGTGTTTGACCCCACACAGGGATGGGCAATGAAACATGTTCCTCTTGCAGCCAGTTTCTGATGAAACTCCATATCCGGGAATTGGGTCTTCATCTTCCCGTACACCTCGCAGACGAAGGTGGCAGGAAGCCACAGCTGAGTTATCGAATGCTTTGGCAAAGGCTGCTGGTGTTCGCCCTGGTCATCCTTGTAGGACACCGTGGTGCCGCCATGAAAGGCGTAGACCTCCACGCGTCGAAAGCCTTGCCTGGATTGAAGCCATCTTATTTGTAGTCCCACGGTTAGACAGGAAACTACCTATATGCCCTATTGAGTAGGATTACTGATCGTTCTAGAGAGATAATACCGTCCATCTCAAGACCCTCTGCTAAGCGAAATTCTGTCAGGGATTAGGGTTTAGGGTTTAGGGTTTAGGGTTTAGGGTTTAGGGTTTAGGGTTTAGGGTCTAGGGTTTAGGGTTTAGGGCTTAGGGCTTCGTCATGGCAAACCAGCTGCTTCTGCTGGAACTGCTCGGGCAATGCGGTGGTCTGCCGCTCGAAAGTGAACACTTCAAACTCGCCAATGGTGTTTCCAGGGATCTGGGGTGCATTCGGGGGCCGCTGGAACATCAACGAGGTTGGCCCTTAAAGCCCTCTGAAAAATATTCCTGAATATGATCCTCTTAAACCCAAATAAGGGAAAATATAAAATGTCCCAAGGGCCTACCTAGTCAAGTGTCTGTGGGCTCCATAGGGTTATATGGGGATTCGGGCCCCTAGAACTAACTCTTGGAGCTCTTCCAAAATCATCCAAAGGAACCAGGCCGACTTCTTTGTTTGCAAGGCTGGCGGCGACATGAGACGCTTTGAACGCAATTTGCTTTTTGGGGGCGTCGGGAAGGTGGGTCTGTCGATACCACAGCTTGCCCTCGAAGCGAACTGTGCAGTCGTCGGGAACCTCCACGGGTATCTTGACGACAAAGCGGCTATGCTTCACCGCAGCGAAAGGTGTTGTGTCATCGTTGATGAACAACTTGAGGCTATCCTGGCCTCGGACGCTGTTACATGTGTGCGCGTGTGTAAAAAATATTCGCAGCCCCATGCCAGTGCCCTTAAACTAGACCCCCACAGACCTAAAACAAATGCGCAGAGGATGCCTCGTCCCGAGACATCGAACGTCTGCGGCCAAGTGTCCGGCCGTATTCAAGTGTCCCCAGTACAAGACGAAAGACACCAT